GGACAGGGAAACGAAGGGGACGTGGCTCTTAAAAGTGCCTTTGTTTTGATGCTATTATAGCTTGTAATGGAGTTTGGCTTTCAGAATAACTTAGAAGAATCTGTGGAGAGAAGAAAAAACAATTAGGAATTGAACACCTTACATTTTAAAGTGGCGTTATATTTGTCAAAGAATTAACAATATCAACATAGCATGATTACAAAAAGACAGTTTTGAGCTATGGTAACATAGGTAACTGGAAATGCATTATTAATGGAAACCATACAATTCCCTATGACTGTAACCTGTAAGATCATATCTGACAAATACAGGTCACCTAATATTTAAGGGGCTTGGCATTAGTGGGACACCTGTCATGGACATGAAGGAATATTTCTGAACTTTTATGATTATTTGTTATTGTTGTGTCATTCATTTAACCTCTTACGCACCGCCCCCCCGGGACCGGGCCAGATAAACGCGTCATTTGCAGGAAACAACGTCTAAGGAATCTTAATATTTAATAAACTATGAATGTTTTATATCCATGTAACGGGAAGAAACTCAGCTAACTGATCTTTTTTTTTTTTTTTTAAAAACACAATGCTAACACTCAGCCTCTGAATTAGCCACGAGCGGAAAAAATGCTAACCTATCACTGCACCGAAACTCACTCATAACTCCCTTATTACTTATCCTAGATGCACATCCAACATTATCGATTATGATCATAAGGAGACACAGAATCGATGGGTGCCCACCTCAACACTCCATGATAAACATTCGCGACTCTATAAACGAAAACGTACATCAAAACATGTGGCGCTAGGTAGCTACAAATGCTAACATGGCTTACCTTGGTCTTTGTCTGGTCAAAACTGGTCTTCAATGGCATTAAAACGATAAAAAACGATGCTGCAGTTAATCCATAGGTTAATCCAATGTGTCTGTGTCCCTTTGAAATGATTTCTGATAATCCATAAGCAATAAAACTCCTTTTCCGTTTCCAGATGTCAGAGGTACAGTATAGGTCAGGGGTCGGCAACCCCTGGCACGCGTGCCAGCATTGGCACGCGGCACCGTAGCCAGTGGCACACTAGGAATAAGTCGAATAAGTGTGCAAAATATTTAAATTGTATTTTCGGATCCTGAACGAGACCGCCGCCAGAGCGCGTCTCCCCGTTACCTGCAGAAGGAAGCCATGCACGCAACGCAGCCCCGCTCTCTTTAACTCCAGGTGACTTTCTGCCGCTTTCCTCCGTGGTGCAGTGCTGATCGTTTCACCACGGAAGAAAGCACTTCACAAATTGCAGTACCCATAAGGAGCTTTACAAATGTCGCAGTTTTTGCGTGGCTGTGTGTGTCTTTAGTTGAAAGCCCAGTGGCGATCTGCTCATCTCTCATTGAAATAATATGCTACAAAGGGGCGGACTGGCCATCTGTGTGTTGAACTTTCCTGTCGGCTCCCAGACCGTAGTCGAGGAGGGCAGAAGCAACGAGCTTCAGGTTCAATAACCCACTTTAGCTTAAATGACTGGAGAGAGGCGAGCTCTTCTTGAGAGGCCGTTGCATTTATTTAGCTGTTCTTCTGTTTCACAAAATACATCACAGACCTCTGTTTTTCTGCTGCCTCGTTTCACTTCCAGAAACATACTCACACGCACACGCCACACCCCTCTCTCTCTCTCTTAAAGGGACAGCGATCTCATCTCACTCTGCATGACCCTAATATCATAACATGTGTGTTCTGGAGAATCACAGAACGGACGATCGTCCTTATTATTATGCCGTTTAAACCAATTATTTAAATGTATTTGTTAAATTCGGCATCATGTAAGTTGCGCTGACAGGTCCACACACTGCTTCCCCGCAGCGAGGCCCCCCCGCCCTCCTGTTGATAGATCACGAGCGTCAAGCTCCTCAACATCCTCAACACCCCCCCCCCCCCCGTTGATAATTCTCGATCGTTGGCACGCTGATAATTTTTTTTTTTTTTTAAATGGCACTTCATATCAAAAAGGTTGCCGACCCCTGGTATAGGTTCACTCTGAGGCAAAACTGCATGCGCGAAGCCCCCACCTTTTTTTTTCACAATGAGTGTGTGTGGGGGACTCCCCCTTCGATTCTATTGGTTCTAACGGTCAGAAAGAGGTGTCAACCATCAAAATCGAGCAAGGGAGGCCAGAGATATGGAAAATCCACCCAAATGACCCCAGAAGTGGTTTCTTTTTGCTAAATCTCTCTAAAAAGGTCAAATGTCACTTCTTTTGCATCAATCTTGATACAGGGTATTTATTATATGTTGTACTTTGGATTCCTAAAGCTTTTAGTCTACCTTACCATCATCCAAGGGTAGTTTTCACTATAAGTACAAAATAATTTTTGGACGGACACTATAATTTACAGTTTTTTACTATGTTCAATCTGAATTTTCTTTAAAATAAAAAACATCTATATTGATTCTGACTTTTCTACATCCAACTCACAGGTTTATCATTACTTTGAGAAAAAAGATTATTAATTTAACCCTTTTAGAAGGGAAGATATGGTCATTTGTTCTGGGAATGTCATTTTCGAGCCTGAGACCTGAAAAACAGGCTCAGGGCTTAACAGGTTAATAAACTCTAACCCCATTAAAAACACATAACTGACACATAATAACTACATTCATAAACAAAATATTATTTCATGCAATAACAGGTGTCAGTCGTTTGCCACCTCTTGAATAAAGTTAAACTTCAAAGGCAACATCTTCTGTGCTAGCTAATAGCTAGTAGCAGCTAGCTAGCATTCTGCACATTAGTAAGTTATACTTTCTTTTTTTAATGTCTTAAAATGATTTACAGGCAAAAAAGACGACCCTGCACTTGCAAATGTTCCAACAATGACTTATTGGTCCGACATAAGGCTGTTTGTGCTGAATATTGAATGATTTTCTTGATTTCAGTCACAGGTTAGCGGTGCTTCTTACCTGGTGGAAATCGCAATGTGCTTTAAAATCGTCGCATAGATGACGTCACACGTGCGCGCCGTCTGTGAGGAAAAGAAATGGGGCTCAGAGCCTCAGAATACTGAAATCTGTATTTTTCGTAATCTTTTTTTCCTTCTAATTTGTTATTCTTTTCTAAATAACACACTGTTATTTACTCAACAATAACACACAATTATCCTTGTTTTTATTTATTCGTTTAATTCTATAATCTTGGGCTTTTTAGCCGTAAATAAAGTCACCGGAAACAGACGTAGGCCTATAAGGGACATTTCGAGCATCATTGCGATACACACCACACACCCACTGAACTGATTACCCAAGATCCTCAGCTTGAAGCTCGGTGATTAGATGTTTTAGCCGCAATGCACATTGGGATATGGTGTTAATGCGATACGATATCCGAAAAACATTTCAGAGTTTAGGATGGCCGAAGACACTACACTACCCATAATCCTCAGCTATCGTTTGGGACTACAGTCCCATTGCTTGACAAACCCCGTGATTAATCTTCAAGCTCTGGGATTGGATGTTGGAGTGGCAGTGCGCCAAGGTTACGCCGAGCGTCAAACAGCTCTTTGAAATCGAACAAAACCACGGCAGACTATCCAAAACTGGACTCGAAAGGGCCCCCCCCCCCCCCCAGAACTACACATGCTGGCTATAGAGAACCGCAGTGACACGTCCTACTTCTTCCGGTTCCTTCGTCAAAAACCAATGCAATTTCTCCATAGGATTTTGGAAAATAGCTCGAAATAAGGTCTGTGGTTGACACACATTTAAGAGAGGGATCACGTTTTGTTCAGCCGGATAATCTCCACATGTCTATTCTACTTTTATAATTTTCTAATCATAAATCTAGTCGCCAGAAGCAAAATGCTAACGTTATGCTATAAACGAACTACAAGCGAGAACAGCAGAGTCACCAGAAAACACAGAAATATCCATGAAATAAACATACAGTAGGCTATAAACAATTAAAGGGATAATTGGGAAGGCATTACAAATGTAAATATATTTTAAATAATAAAACAATCCCACCACCACAGGTATCTACAGGAGAAGAGGGAATTCTCTCCACAAAATGTGAATGCCCACGTGGAGAATGGAAATGCAGTCATGCGGCTGCATTAGCCATCTTTGCCATCCACAATTTCAGCTGCACTGACACCCTCTGTCAGTGGAAGAAGCCAAAGGCAGCTAAACGTACACATTCAGTGGAGGAGCTATTTCCTCCAACCAATAACTAATTTAACCCGCTGACAAGAGAGCCCACCTCCGAAGATCGTGACTGGCTGAGGGACAGACTCAGGGGCAGTTTCTCAGGAATTTCTTGGCTTCTCTCCCCCGAGCCAGAAGAGGAACACTACAGCTTGGAAACACTTACTGTTCCTGAAATTATCAAATATGTTGGGCATCAGGGACCTGAGGCAATTGTGGCAAGCATGGCATTGTCTGAGGAGCAACAGAGGGCAATTCAGGTGGCTACCACTGGTCAGCGAACCAACCCAAACTGGCATTTGTTCAGGAAAGGAAGGTTGACTGCCAGCAACTTTGGAGCTGTCCTGAGGTCAAAGCGTGTGACTGCTTCCCTTATTGCCAGGGTGCTAGGGCAACAACAGGCTCTTGATGGTGTTTTGTCTGTACAGTGGGGGACTATGAATGAATGTGAGGGCGTCAGGGCATTCACCACTTCAACCCAGATGCAGGTCCATGAGTCAGGTTTGTGGCTCTCCCAATCAGGATTGTTGGGGGCATCTCCAGATGGTCTGGTAGGGTCTTCCGCTGTGCTGGAGGTAAAGTGTCCCTACGGAGCCAGGGAAATGACAATTAGTGAAGCATTGCAAATCAAGGGCTTCTGTGTCAGGAAGGAGAAACATTCAGCCTGCGTGAGGAACATCCTTACTGGCACCAAGTGCAAGGTCAGCTTCACCTCACTGCAAGAGAGACTTGCTACTTAGTGGTCTGGACTACGAAAGACAGTGTCATCATTCCGATAGCCCGAGATGACAATTGGCTGTTGAGGACTTTTTCAAGGCCCACATGCTTCCAAAGCTGGCACTGCCAAAATAATCACCTTTGTCACTGTTGTGGTTATTTTCTGAAAAACACAGAAAAACAAAAAGGCATATTAATTTACTTGTTCTGAGTTCTGCACTGCAGTTAAAATTAAATATTTTTTTAGAGAAAACTCAGCTTCAGGATGTTATGGTTCCCCTTTGAAGATATTTCTTGTAGCTGCTGCGATCCTTGTTTGAGTCGTTCATATGTTCGATGAAAAAGATCATAAATCTATCATTTTCAAATATAGTACTTTTAAGAAATTGTGAATCGTTTTTAATTTACATTTACTCACCTTTGCAATGTTGTGGTTGTTAGAGTGTTAGGTTTCTGACTACAGAGAATAACATATTTACAAAATAATATTTCTTAATAAAAAAAGGCAGTCCATGCAGAAAACTATTGTGGTTTCTTGATTCAAGCCTGCCTCTGAATCCCAAATCCCAAACCATTCTTTGGAGTAACGTTTTTGATAGAGAAAGACAGAAAACAAACATGAGCCTACCCCGAGAGGTCAGACTTTTAAAGGTAAAAAGACAGTTTAAAGATTTATATTTGCGGATATTATCAGCACATCTGAGTCAAATTAACATGTGTATTAAACAGAACCTAAATAAAAGAAATAAAATGCACCCAGTTTAAAGACTTATTTCCTTGTAGTCAAGTTGCAATAAAAGATTTGCTAGTGAAGACAAGGAGTCCTTGACAGCTGAGGGGGGTCTGTAACAGCCCACCACCATGACCTGTTGCCCCTTTGCCACTTCTATATTTAAGGCTAAAAATTTGAATTGCTTACTGATAGATTTGGAAACTAATGTGGTTACACTGAACTTATTCTTAACATAAATGGCAACGCCACCACCTTTATTAGGCCGGTCGGAGCGATACACATTATAACCATTTAAGGCAATGTCAGAGGCCAAAATTGATTTATTTAGCCATGTTTCTGATAAAACAATGGCGTCAGCGTCAGTCGAGCTTGCCCAAATGCGGACAAAATCTAGATTACCTAACAGACTGCACACATTCAAGTGGATGAAACCCAACCCAGACCTAGCTTTAAAATCAGCAGGAGTAGCGATCTGACTACTACTACTGGGCGGACCAGGGTTAGGTTGAACATTTCCTGAGAGTGATAACAACAAAGAAACCAGGCATCTTTTCCTCTTAATCGACACACATACATTGTCATCTACTTTAGAATCACCGGAAAAGTCTGCGAGAGTGTGATTTGAGCTTAAAGTGGACCTATCATGCTATATTTGAATAATATAGTATAGGACCATACCTATATAAGGCATATTTATACTTTTTTCTTTTCAAAATACCAAACAGATCATGCATTTTAGCCATGCCTCATTTTGCTCAATTTGACATTTTTTAGCTCTGTTTTTGCAAGGGCAGATTATGTGAGAACAGCACCATCTACAGGCCTGGCATATGTACTACAGCGTCTCCAGCGCTTTCGAATGGCAACGGTAATTGTTTGTGTAACACATCCGAACCTTTGCAGGGGATGCCCACTGCGGGTGGTAGAACAGACCTGAATCCAGTAGACTTCTCAGGATGACTAGAGATCTTCTCATAGTCCAAAACAGTTAACAGGCACAGCAGAATCCCGATATGAGCCATTTTCCCAGACCAGCACACAGTATCCGCGATGTTCCTGGAGCAATTCAGCACAGCAGCAAAGGACAGGCGAAAGCAGCAGCGTGGAAGCGCTCCGGTCCCTCCGTGGTATCCCCGGGGTGAAAGGTCTCCTCAGCAAGCAGCACACGACAGGTGGGAGCAGGCCTCCGCAACAGCAGAACCAGGACAGGTGGAAAGCAGGCCCCAGCCGTGGTAAAATCCTCCTCCGCACAGCAGCACACGCCCGGTGGAAGTAGGCCAAGCCCGAAGCGTGGAGCCACTCCGTCTCTCCGCGACGACTCCGGGGTAAAAACCTCCTCAGCACAGCCGTACTCTACAGGTGGGAGCAGGCCTCCGCAGATCGCAGACACCAGACAGGTGGAAAGCAGGCAGCAACAGGTGGAGCCGCTCCGTCTCCGGGGGAAAACCACCTCAGCACAGCCGTACTCTACAGGTGGGAGTAGGCCTCCGCAGACCGCAGACAACTAAAACTACTACTTGTATAAGCAGAGATGGCTAAATGTTTGTTAGCAGGAGAGCTAGATGCTAACAGATGCCAGATGCTAACAGGTAGTGGGAGCCTGTAAAAATTGTGACTGCCTCGCGTGAATGACGGATGATGAGGGTCAGGGCTAGAAAGGTCAGTTTCGGTGGCATTTCTTCCAGTTTGTCCAGAAGTCTTCTAATCAGGGCTCTATAAATAAATAACTACGGCAGGTGTGTAATATTGAATGCAGCCGAACTGTGTATTACAATGCCGTTATGTGATGACTTTCAAAGAGAAAAGAATGCACACTCGGAATAAAGTATTATTCTTTTTTTTTAAAATGTTTTTCAGATTTCATATCGCATTAACACCATATCCCAACGTGCATTGCGGCTAAACAATCCAATCACAGAGCTTCTAGCTGAAGATCTTGGGTAATCAGTTCAGTGGGTGTGTGGTGTGTATCGCAATGACGCTCAAAATGTCCCATATCGGCCTACATCTGTTTCCGGTGACTTTATTTTGAAATTCAGTTCCTGAGGAACGGCTAAAAAGCCAGAGATTATAGAATTAAACGAATAAATAAAAACAAGGATAATTGTGTGCTATTGTTGAGTAAATAACAGTGTGTTATTTAGAAAAGAATAACAAATTAGAAGGATGTAAGAGTCGGGAGGACTGATAATTTATTCTGGCAAATTACTCAGACTACTAATTAACCTAACAGAAGTTATTGAGTCTATGTAAGTTTACTGCTTGGCTCAGATCCACCAACGTCAGCAAGATCTCACCTCTATTAACTCCTGAAGAACCAGGTTCAATTAACTGCTGTTTCAATTCAGACGACGCTCTTAATCTGTTTAAGCGATCCCGAAGGATTTTGATATCAGTAAATGAGGTGTGGCCCTACCTAAGTGTGAGTGTGGCAGTGTGCAATCTTACCTTTGAAGCAGGAGAGGAGAGCGCAGATGTCTTTTAAGTTGTCCCAGTCCAAAAGGTGGGATCAGTTTAATTGAAGAAAAATAGGTCCAAACTTATACAGGGTTTTTACCTTCTCTCGTTACAACATTATAATCATACTAAACATATCATGCTGGGGTTATTTTCTAATCTAAAACCTTAATTCATAGTTCACACATTAAAGTCTTCCGACAAAATCCAAAAGGAATTTCCTCACAGATCGACGGGGTTAACATCCACACACTATGGCCTGACACATGTAAGAGGTCAGTTCCTCAAAATGTTCAGATTGAATTCCGACAGAACCCAGAGGGATCTCCTTGTGGATCGAAGGTTCTAACATTCACAGCCTATAGCCTGACACATTTAAGAGGTTAGCTCCTCAGAATGATCAGTTTGAATTCCGACAGAACCCAGAGGGATCTCCTCGTGGATCGAAGGTTCTAACATTCACAGCCTATAGCCTGACACATTTAAGAGGTTTGCTCCTCAGAATGATCAGTTAGAAATCCCCTTTAAAACTTGCATCACTCAGCATTCAATACACAGAGATTCAAGCAATAGTTACCAAGTTTGAGAGAACCTTACAGAGAGCAAAAACCCAGCTCTCAGGGAGAGAAAAAAATTGTCGGTCTAGAAACAAGAGCTTCGGAGCTAAGAGGCGGCGTCGCTTACGTCTCTTACGTCAGGCGTGCAGGAAACTAAACCCACCTCCCCTGAACATGGGTCGACTGAAGAGTCTCGTCATGCCTGCCTACAAGCAGTAGCGCTGAGCAAAGTGACTAGAAGGCAACCACACACTTATAAAAAAAAACACACTTTATAAAGTCAGGCAACACTAACCAGGCTTCGTGTGATTCTGTTTATTTGTACCTTACTTTGACCATCCGTTCGCTGTTATTGATCATTGTGGAGAGCAGGCAGACGTTTTGTTTTTTATTATAGCAGCTATTGGATGGAATCAATACATGGGCTGCACAGGTTGTCATGTCCGACTATCACAAGTAGAATCATAATGAAAAATACGCCGGTAAAATGTGCCTGTAGAAAACGGCTTAGCAAGTAGTCAGTTTAGCTTCGGTTGCTATGCTAACATCACCCATGTTATACCAGAGAAACTTTCATAACAGCGTTGTGATGCCAAACAGCGTCAATTCAGACTGACACACATTCACTTAAGGGGAACTGGGGATATGTATCAGCTGCTTGTGTGACAGTCAGACAGTGAATACTTTAGAGCCGTGTGAGCTAACCCGAAGCTAACGGGAGAATAAACTCCCGTGGAAGAGCAGCCAGCACTGCAGCGGTCGGTAAATGCCGCTTAAACACATTAATAAACAATGAACCACGGCACTCTGGAGAAAAGTATAAGGTTGGAGAAGTCGTTATTTAATTTAATTTAATCTGGCTTCGTATGATTACCCGTGGGGAGAAAATCAGCGATGTAAACTGTGACGTCATGACGCAGCAGCGGCAGCTCTGGGCGGTGTGAACAGAGCGGGAGCAGAAAAGGGAAACCGGAGCTGAACCAGAAAAGCTCTAGCTCGGAGCTAGAAAGGGAAAAGCGCTGGTGTGAAAGCCGCATCTGTCTCTCCGGCCCTGTCCACCTCGCTCCCCCCTCACAGGACGAGGTGGAGACCTCTCTACCCCCTCCTGCTCCTGCTGCTCTTCCTCTTCTTCCTCCTCCTCCTCCAACAGTTCAATAATGTCTCCTGCAGTAAGGCAGATGTTGTGTAGGACACAGCAGGCAGTGACCACAGCAGGGACAAAGTTATGGTTCACCTCCAGTGCCTTAGACAGGAGGCACCTCCATCGCCCCTTCAGTTTCCCGAAAGCACGCTCTATGAGGCTGCATGCTTTGGCATGGCAGCAGTTGAAGCGGCTCTGTACCCTCCCCTGTAGTGGCTCCCGATACGGTGTGACAATATAGATGGGTCGTACAATGCAGGGGTAGCCACCATTCCCCACAATGAAGTTCCCTGGAGGAGGGTAAAGAGCCTCTTTATAGAGGGCACTGTGTTTCAGGACACGGGTGTCGTGGACTGAGCCCGGAAATCCTACGAACGTTTGTAGAAAATCCTGGCCACTGGGTCCGGATGGGCTCCTGATCCGTATGTGGCACCCGTCAATTGCACCCACACATGAACGGAATGCCGGGCTGTTGGCCAACTGCTGGAAGCCCTGCCCGACCTCCTCCAGCTCTGGACCAGCAGGCAGCCTGATCAAAGATTGCCAGAGAGCAGCGATGTCCTCCACTCCCTGGTGGACCAATCTGTGGACCGTAGAGAGGGGTACCTGAAAGGCCCGGGACACCACACTGTATGACAAACCCTGTGCCAGCCAGTACACGGTTGTCAAGACAGTAATGTGGTGTCCCCAGGCCTGTCTCCTCTCAGGCCCCAGACACCGCATCAAGGCCTCCAAGGAGTCCCGGCTGATCCGGTAGTCCTTCAGCAAGCACCCATCACCCTCGAAGTATAGTTTCAGCACTGGGACACTGCTGTTCAAACGTTTGTACATGGGAGAGTGTGGGTGTTGAACCTACAGGAAGAATAAAATGTACAGAGGTCAATACCTTTATCCAGCAAACTAAACTCCTTTATCCCGCAATTTAAACTGCACATAAATATTCTGTCATAAGAAATTAAGCTATGGCTAAATCTGGCACATTTGATGGTCTCAAGTGCTTGTGTTAACTAATGTGCATTGTCCCTTCTTGAATAAATACAACTACATAATCAAAAACACAACAAGTAGTTGGTCATTTTTGTATTCCAATGAAAAAAGCCAGCTATTTTTCAACCATTTAAAACATTTTTAAACAAACACTCATAAATACCTCAAGATGAAGCAAGATGGCATTGCACATTCTCGCTTTCCAGCGCTGGGAACGGCGTCTTTCCTCACGGCATTTGTTGGTCTGCAGCTGGTGCCACTGCCACAAGGCGCACGCTATTGCGGTCTTCACAGTATAAATTGTTTGACCTTCTCAATATCTCCTTCGTGGTTGAGATAGAAATCAGAGGTGTGCCTGGACCTTATATAGCCTGTCAGGTCCCTCATGATTCGGTAATTGATTAGAAATTCGGTGCAGGTGTTTTGTCAAAGAGGTGTGACTTGATGACTTATCATGTCATTAAGCCTACTAGTTTAACAAGGTAAACATACTGTGTATAGTGTATAGACAGTCATTGGGTTTTTTAGGTGTTTGTGTGTGTGCATGTGTGAATATATTAAATGCATCAAAAACAGTAGTTACCCATTAACTAATAATTTCCTCACCATTATCTTACCATTAGTTAAGCAGTTTAACAAACAAACAAACACTTTGTACTCAAGTTTACATTTTTATTTAAACAACAATCCAAATGACACTAATAACGAAAACGAAGTTGCTTTTAGAACTTGTAAAAGTGGCGTATGTCATGCAGCAATCTGCCTAGGGGACCATCTTTGTGTTCATTTGCCAGCCAATGCGTCCACTCGATGAAAGCAAGATGACTCTTCAGAGTATTCACTGTGCGGTTTCCCCGCAGTCTCCAGACCTGGGACTTGGACGTTGACCAAGCCCGCTCAAGGTTTTGGGTGTGGGCTCCTGTGTCTGGGTTCACAAATGACTGGCTGTGGTTCACAGTGAAATGTACAAAGCCACTTTCTGCGATTGCAGTCATGTACGCCCTCCACATGTCCGTTATCACCGTGGTCCCTTGGCGAACGTAATTTGCGACAAGAGGATTTAAGTGGCGCCTTGATCTTTGTTTAACCAGCCTCAGGATAGGTCTTCTCCTTGTTCCTCTGATGCCCAGCATTCCAACGACCCATTTTCTCCTCCTCCACGAAGGACCAAATCTTCCCCTACCATACTGTAATAAAGCAGTAAAAAAGGACAACACAATTATATAAAAATAAACATCAGGAATTTCAATTGATAAACAAAGTCAAATGTGTTTGTTATTTGCGTTCTTTTACAATTAAAAAATAATCACTTCCTTTCTCAAAAAAGAAGAGAGAAAAAAAAAATGTGGTGGTACAGATGAAGCGTCTTATTTTGGACAGTTTAAAGTGCGAGGGTCGTGATCGGTTCGTGCACGTTCCGTGATGGCCGGCCGGCCCCCAGTCTGACTTGATACCGCCCCCATGATAAATACATTTAATTATTGTGAAGCCAGCTGCAATGGATCATTGATCCACCAGGGGGTGCAGTGGGGTTCCACACTGGAGTCATGTGAAATCAACTTCTTTGTTGTTAAGGCGAGACACGGCAGGCAAAAACATCGTTTTTCCTGCACTGGTCAATTTTGAGATTTTGTGCTATTTTGATTCCATAACATGTTTTCTTTCTGGCTTTTGGAAGGAAAACGTACAAAATACACATTTAAGTGTTTATTTTACTATAGTTTGTCTATTTGCGTCTGTAGATTTCTCCTAAATTCACCAAAAGTTAGCATTCTAACGTAACATAAAGTACAGCGACCGCTGTTTGCACCATGTCATCAGAGGTATCGTTGGAAAGCTCCGTTTCTCCTGCACAATCTCATCGGATCCAAATATGGTCATTTCCTTTGTATCAGCAACCAATCGTGAAAGTGCAAAGGGGTCTTAAACCAAGAAACGAAATCTCATTGGCTGGTGTCAATTTCTGACAACGTGATTCACTGAAGCACTTCCTGGTTAGCTTTCCGCTAGAAATTTAAATCTGAAAATGGCAAAAATAACGGCGAAAAAAACGTTCACAGAGAAGACTACAACAATTGCCACTTGCACAAAGCAAGGTTATACAAAAAACAAATGACCCCGAACATGAAATACCTTCACGGAGTGCGTCGATGCGCAAGCTGTCATCCAGATAACAGGAGGGTTTAGCTAGCGTCACACTGCAATCTTTAAAGGTTGTTTTCTCAAAATGAGTTTTTTCTCCTACTCTGAGTTCGAAATGTCCACTTCAGTAGCAGTTACATACACCAAACCTTCCAGTTATATTCCTATCAATATTATGAAGGCTTTTACAGAAGGGTTTGGTCATATATAATTCATAGCCTGAATTACATAACATTTTATACCTAAAAACATGGTGAAAATTGATATTTTAGGGCTGTTGACAGTATTTTCTGATTTATGGAGTGATACAAAGAGATATCCAAAATCCCTTCTGTAAAAGCCTTAGATACTAATATGACTACAAAATGAAACAATCATTTTGATCCTGGCTTTATCCAAAGTTCAGATTTCGATTCCTGAAATGTGTTAAAATATGCGCATATTTCACGAGATAATAGTCATTTGCATATTTAAACATGCTATTTCAGAAAACTTGTAATACAAAAAACATTTGCCTTATTGTAAGTAATTAACTGGAGCAATTTCTAGCTGATATCTTTAAGTTAAAAAAATTACCCTATTCACCTGGGGTGTCTCGCCTTAAGATCCATACAGTGTATGTCACGGATAGGATCATAGTCTGTGCTAAATAAGACATGTAATCATTTAAATAATGTTGTTTAGTCGGAAAAAACGAACGAGCCGGCTCTCCCGATTTTTAATCCTAATTTAATCATCATCATTGATGTTTATGTTCGCCGAATTGACATGAAATCACTGACAAATATGAATATTCTGTATTCAACTTCATTGAAACGATCAGGATGGATGTTATTTTTCCCCACAATGACCAAGTCGCTGCAAATGATCCCATGTATTACATGTGCATGGCCACATTCTCAACAAAGTTACGTAACGAAACATTCTGTATTCCTTGCTTACTTTTTATTTAATGCTTTATAACAGCTGGAATAGTTCGTTTAGAACAGGCACCTCACTCGCAATCTGCTCCTCCGCAACGCCTACCACCTACCTCCGGCTGAAATTATGAATGTATAGTAATCATAGATAACACGGCAGGGCCCGTTACAGTTTGTTTTCATCTGATTTCAAATATTTCAAATGTCTGAAGTTAATAAATACATTCTCAGTGTTCAAGTCAATAATAGTCATATAAGAAAAGTACTGATCTAATAACAGAGATTTTATAAGGACTTTTCAATGTTCGACATCGCTCATGTGAAATACAGTAAACTGGATGTTGTGGTGCCGAGAGGCGGGGTATCAAAAGTACAAGCTAAACTTTTATTTAGCATCTGAACACACTTGTAAACAACGTGATGCCCGGGAAGCGAAGACCCGGCGGAAACAGCTGGTCTGGTTCACTAAAATGTCCGTGTACAGTATATCTGGTACTAATGTATAGCGGATCTTTGTTAAGATCCATATGTCACGGATAGGATCATAGTCTGTGCTAAATAAGACATGTAATAATTTACAAAACATCACCATGTTGTTATGCGCATGTGCGAGATGTCACGTTGTAATAACAATAACTCATCTCTCTCGGTTTTTTTTGTTTTCTTTGTGTGCTTTGCCAAAAGCCACTGTGTCAAGTGTCCTAGTTGGGTTGCCGTAACGAACAGCAGCCGGCTCTCGATTTTTAATCCTAATTTAATCGTTTATGTTCGCCGAATTGACATGAAATCACTGACAAATATGAATATACTGTATTCAACTTCATTAAAATGTTATTAACGTGCCTAAACTCAGTAATTCACTAAAAATTACTTAAATTGATGGGGAAAAATAACACCCAGGGATCAAGATCCCTCCGCGACGCGACGCGGAGGGATCTTGATCCCTGGGTGTTATTTTTCCCCATAATGACCAAGTCGCTGCAAATTATCCCGCTTATTACATGGCCACAAAGTAACGACATGACTCCCAATATTAATTAAAATGCTTTTATGGATTTAGAAAATATTTTTATTGATTTAAAAAATAGTTGTATGTATTGATTTAAATTTACATGCATCTCAGCTGTGTTCACACTCCTAATGGCCCATCACAGCTCTCTCCCCCCCTAATCTTTCTTTTCCAACAGTTAAGTTAACTGTAGGTTACTCTGAGTGACAAGCTTACAGTTAGTGAAGTAACACTTTTTTTTTGTGAGTCACGACCTCGCTGTTTCATTCTAACATAACGCTCCAAATATGACTGTTTCCACTCGGACTTCAATACAGCAACACCATTGTTTGGTTTCCATGGTAGCGTGTCTCTTTAGTAGCGTGCACTCCTTTCCTGTAAATTACAGGTCCAGCCAGGCAAAACAGTAATATGAAATATGAACGTTAGTTTTTAACTGAAATGATCAAATAAAGTTAAAATGTCACAGTGTTTACAAACATTGACCATACCGTTCACCAGCCCCCACCCCACTATGTTGAGTATAGCCTACTCTTTGTTTAAAACGAATTGGCCATCGGAATGTGTGTGTCCCAACCCCCCCCCCCCTGTGATATCTCTTCTCCAGCAGTCTGTAGTTTGTCCGTAAACTTTAGAATGAAATGTAATACCGGTTAGTTTTTTGTGTTCATACTGACAGAAGAAGAAATAAATTAAGTATGAATGAGAATAAGACTTATGTAATGTATTGACATTTGATCAGTAGCCTATAAACGGGGGGGGGCCTCTCTGCACGGAGGAGCCGCGGAGAAGTGAATCACAGTGATCTCATAAACATATGACCAATGTGCGAGGGTGATGACATCAGAGCATCGTCCTATGGGCTTAGCCCCGGACAGGTACAACAGGTATTCACTCAGAGGGGGGTAGTTACCCATTTACATGTCAAAAAGCAACAAACAGTGGGCGGGTGGGGGAAGTATACTGAGAAGTATATAATGAGAACTGCTACCAATGGTGGCCTATTTAGTTTATTAAGAAATACATATTTGTAGCTTTTTTTTTATCTGCAGTAGGAAATGCAGAGAGTAGCGACAGGGCTGGTCCAACCTGATCTGTAAAGTGATCTAACTAAGTGCTATTCATTTTCTTGACGGGGAAGTGCAGTGTAAATGGGGGGCTTATATGCATTTGAAAAGCAATATAAATCACACAGTTCGTATACAATAGGCATTAAAAGCACCGTCGATAACCATTGCCCTTCTCCTATTCAAACCAAAAGAGAAAATGCAGATATTACACTCTGAAAAGAAAGGGTAGACATATCTGTACTCTTA